TCTACATTCAGAAATGTACATTTCCATATGCTTCCTATCTAACAGAGCCACAACTCTTAGGAGAGATTGGATTACGCATATCTCCCTGGCTCCAGGGTCTCAATAGGAAAATCTCACTGGAGACCACCCAGGACACAGTTGGGTTGGGCCTAGGTTGGGCCAAGGTCGAGATGGGGAGGCCAAGGTTAAAGAGATTAAGAGCATGGGTCTGGAGCCAGACTACTCAGTTCAGATCTGCAGTTTACCCATGACAGGCTGTGAGTCTCAGGCAAGTACTACCTCTTTGGTGCCTCAGTTTCCACATCTGTAAAATGGGGATTAAATTCCCTGGGAATTTTGGTGTGAGGGAGGGACAGTGTAAGAGGGAGTGGTAGGGGGAAGCCTGGAGCTGCTACACAGGAAAAAGGAGTGCTGCCTTGGGCAGTGAATGGGGCTTGAGTAAGCACAGGTGTAGAGGGCACTTGCTCATGGCTCAGCCTAGCCAGGTCCAGGTGTCTCTGAAGTGGGGGAAGATAGGTCTGTATTCACCTCTGGGGCAGAAATGCAGGAGGCATGTAGGTTAAACTGATGTCTTGAGCAACTTCTTGCTCGAAAATCATGGAGGGGCAGGGTCCTATTGAGCCGTAGATGTAGATGTTCTCTGCTAGGCAGGATGTCTCCCCCCAGCAGCTTTGCCCACCCATAAAATGGGGATAATCGTAATTCTGATACTGAAGCTCTTAATCTCAAGTTCCTGTGCCTGATTCACAACAAGCCAATCACTGAGACATCAGTGCTTGGAAATGGAGAAAGGTTTATTTGAATTGGCCAAAACAAGAAAGCAGAAGGATAGGGTCTCTCAAATATGCCTTCACAAGAGAAGAAAGCAAGAGGTTTTATAGAGCTAAGGGGCTTGGCAGGAGGAGTTTCGGAGAAAGAAAGGGGTAGTCTGTGTTTCTTTCACTCCAGATAAGCCCTTGGGCAATCTGATTTCTGGGTGCCAGTGGCAGCTGGGGGCTGGTTATCTGGTGATCCTTGAAGGCATTCTTTTTCTTCTGCAAAACTAGCTCATAAATCCTTGTGACCCTTGAGTTACCCCTCAGGCTAAACAAGAAAACAGCAAATTAACAAGATTAACTTCTTTTCATCTCTGTCTGTGTTGGGAACAAGGTCAAAGGGTAATCATGTTCTTACTGAATATTTACAGTAACCTCGGGTACCTGGCTTCAATACCTTCCATATGGGGTGATTGTGGGAACAACTGAGAAGGTGAATGTCAAGCTCTTAGCACAGGGCCCGGCTCCTCAGATGCCCTCAGTGGATGACAGCTGCTATCATTGATATCACTGTCATCATCTTCCCTTCAGGTCACCTGGCCTGCTGACCACCAAACCTGCCCAGGCCCTGGGCTGGACAGTGGGCCCTGGGAACAATTCACAGTGATGACATCAGCGCAGCCTTTCAGCAAAACAGTGTGGGCAGCCAATTTCTAGCTTCTGTTGAAGTTATTGGTGTGAGCACCAGGGAGGAGAGGCCCAAACGATGGGGGCTCCTCTGAAGGAACAAACATGGCACGCTGGCTCTCAACCCTGTGAGGTTAAATGAAATGCATTGATGATGAAACTGGGGTTCAGATCGTCCATCCAGGGTCCTGGCCCCACAGCAGATTCTGAGTCAGAGGCCCCACTTTCTGAGAATGCAGCGCACTTGCCTCAGATGTAAAGGCCTCGAGGTGATTCTCATTCACAGGCAGTCAAGCTAGTCAGTGGACCTGCCTCGTCACCTGGGACATTACTGTCCCCTGATAAGTCCCCCTTTGAACCACACTGGCTGTTCCCTTGGCCTCAAGGGCTTCTTCCTCCAGATAATTTCCTAGATCAGTGCCTACCTCCTTCAGCTCTTTATTCTAACAGCCCTTTCTCAGGCAGCCCTATTTAACACTGTCACCCTCCCTCTCCCCGAATTGGGCTGTTTTGTTTACTGCTGTATTCCTGGTGCCTACAACAGGATCTGGCAAACAGTAGGCGTTAATAAATATTTGTTGAGTGAACATTGAATAAACTGGCTGGAACCCAGGTCTTTGGGAAAGCCCTATCCTGGCTGCAATGATTTGCACAATAGGGAAGGAAGAGCCCAAGCAGGGAAGAAGTCAGGGCCTTCCTCGGGGAGAGCCCTGTGTCTCTGGCCACCCCCTCGGGGTCTGGAGGAAGGAGCACCCATACCTGATGGACAGACAGGGAGAAATGGCCACACTCTATTAAATGAAAGAAGCCAATTGTGACACACTGTGGATATTATAATTCTACTTTGTTAAAAAAATAACCATAGGGCCAGCCCCGTGGTCTAGTTGAGTTCTGCATGCTCCACTTTGGTGACCTGGGTTCATGGGTTCGGATCTCAGGCACAGACCTATGCCACTCATCAGCCATGCTGCGGCAGCGACCCACATATAGAGTGGAGGAAGACTAGCACAGATGTTAGGTCAGGGCTAATCTTCCTCAAGCAAAAAAAGAGGAAGATTGGCAATAGATTTTAGCTCAGGGTGAATCTTCCTCAGCAAAACAATAAATAAATAAAAATTAATTAATTAATTAAAAAAAACTAGGGGCCCACCCAGTGGTGTAGTGGTTAAGTTCACGTGCTTCACTTCAGTGGCCCAGAGTTCACAGATTTGGATCCTGGGCATGGACCTACGCACAACTCGAGCCATGCTGTGGTGGCATCCCATATACAGATGTTAGCTCAGGGACAATCTTCCTCAGCAAAAAAGGAAGATTGACAACGGATGTTAGCTCAGGGCCAATCTTCCTTACCAAAACAAAACAAAAAACTAACCATTTGGATTATTCATTCAACAATATACTGAACACATATACAGGTAAGAAAAAAAAAACACAAACAAAAAAAACTCCTGTTTCCTCTCTACATACAATACTTCTGATGCCAGGTGTGTAGGTTTTTCCATACCAAGTGATTCTCCAATTCTTGGTGGATATCAAGTAGTTGTCCTACAATTTAATTCTTTTTTTGTTTTTTTGGTAAGGAAGAGTGGCCCTGAGCTGACACCTGTTGCCAATCTTCCTCTTTTTGCTTGAGGAAGAATAAGTGTTTATTATAAAGGCTGTAACTCGGGAATAGCCACGTGGAAGAGGTGCAAAGAGCAAGGTATGTAGGAAGGAACGCAGAGCTCTGTCTCCAGGCGAGTCACCCTCCCAGCACCCAGATGTGTTCACTGACCCGGAAGCTCTCCAAACCCCCACCTTTAGGGTTTTTATGGAGCTTCCAATAAGTAGGCAGTTGTGGTTGAAAGGGGCTTGTTAGGATAACAAAAGACCTCGCTTTCACCTTTATCACTCTGGAGCTATTTCAGGAACTGGGGACAAAATATTGTAACAAAAGATGCTCCTTTCACTTTTATCACTTAGGAAATGACAAGGGTTTTAGGACCTCTGGCCAGGAGTTGGGGAGGAAAACCAAAATGTATATTTCTTGCTACACCACAATATCACAACAGGTATTCAATTCCTTAAAAAAATATTTACTGTGCGTCAGGCCCTGGACTACATTAATAAACCACCACAAAAGCAGCAATAGCTCCAGTGGAGAGACAGGATGGCATAGTGGGTAGGGATGCTGACTCTCGACGGCAGATTTGATCCCTGATTCTGAACTCTGTTGCTGGGTGTCCTTGGACATGTCATTTGCACTCTTCACACCTCAGTTTCCTCATCTGTAAAACAGGGATAGCTATAGTGCCGAAACCCTAGCCTGTTTAAGTGAGATCAGATATGTTAACCGCCCTTAGCCCAGGACGCAGCACAATGAGAGCTCTCCATCCAAGGGCTGTTGTAGAAGCCATCTCCATCACTCCTATCAAGAGCACATACCAGCAACATGACCCACCACAGTTCATGTTCACCTTCAACACCTGGCTGAGGGTGTCTCTCCAGCTCCCAACTGATTTTCATACCAGAGAATCAGGAGGTGATGGAGAGAAGGCCTCTGACTCTACCTTTGGCAACGCTTTTAGGTCACTGTTCAGAAGGAAGTAGCCACAGCGAGCGGACAGCTCACACGCAGAGGGCAGGTCTTACATGCCAGGCACTGTGACGAGCACCTGACCATGACTTCATTGTCATGGTCATGTCACAACAACCCCACGAAGTCAGCGAAATAATTAAATCTCAAGTTACGGATGAGGGAGCTGAGCTTTCGAGGCCTCACAGCCAGAAGCCCGCAGTCACACCTGCTCAGCACTGCTCTGAGCTGCAGGCTGCCCTGCAGTGAGGTGAGGGAGCTGTGGTGGCTGGGGCCTCCTCTCCCACGGTGACAGCAGGGACAAGAGACACCCAGTGCTTCCCTTCAGGGCCCCAACCGGAGCCCCAGCCAGAGGCCCACTCCCCACGTCTAGCCCGAGCCTCTACCCACAGGGATAGAGGTTAAAGGACAACCAGGCCAGAAAAAAGTCCACACGGGGCCAGGCATCCAAAGCCTAGAGAAATAAAATTGGCAGACAAAATGGCTAAGAAACTTTTTGATAATTTTCTTGAGGGTATTAGAATAGACCGTGTGTATGCCATATTTATTTAACCAGTCCCTCACTGATGGATGGTAAGCACATTTCCTCTGCAGCTAGGAACATCTACGTACCTAGAACTTTCTGCAAGCTGTGCTAGAAGACAGAGTCCTGAAACTGTACCTGCCGAGTCACAGGGCAGGAGTATTCTAAATTTTGATACACACTACCAAATTCCTCCTAAAAGGTTACACAGTTGTATATTCCCACCAACAGTATAGATTGCCCATTTTTCCAAATCATTGTCAATACTGGTAGTTATCTTTTTATTAATTTTTTTGAAAGGCAAGGAAAAGTCATCTCCTTTTCCTCTGTATGTCTTTCATCATTAGAGAGGTTGAGCATCACTTCTGGTTTCCTGGCCATTTGGATTTTTTACATATATACACACAAATTCATGTCAATTGCACAATTTTCTTGTCATCTTTTTCTGTTTTGAGTTCTTTATATATCACGGATATTAGTTCTTAGTTAAACATATTACAAATATTTTTATCAGTCTGTCATTCATTTACCGTCTTTCCTCCATACAGAGGTTTTTCCTTTTCAATGGGGTCAAGTCTGTTGATTTTTTCTCTTACAGCTTCAGAGTTTTATGTTACATGTAGAAACACTTCCCCTACTCTCCCTTTCTGTACAGTCATCAGTTCCGGCTCGTGAACAATTCTTATCTGTATCCACCCACTGCCCCACCAACTGCCTGGCCTTTCAATGCCCTGCACAGCTCTCCAGCAACAAGGCAGAGCTGGGCCCCTTCGAGTCCTGGGGCTGGTCTGGACCGGGGAGCTGCTGGGTGCCCAGACCTGGCCTCAAGCTCCTCTCCAGCTCTGTTGCCACCCGGGGGGCTGCGGCCTGGATGGCATCCTGGATGCTGTATAAGTCCCACTGGGTCCTCAGGAGGGCATCGTCCAGGGTGAAGAAGCCATCACGTGTCCGCCGCACTTGGGAGCAGACAGCAGTGGTCTTCAGCTCTAGGCCGATTTCATGCACCAGCCTTCGCAGCTGCTTCTGCGTCTCATGCATGCACTGCACCTCTGTCAGGGACACACAACAGATACAGTGGTCAGGAGCACAGCCTCTGGTGTCTGCTGATCTAGATCCACACCCCTTGAGACTTCCTGGTTGTGTAGTAACTATGGCAAGCCACTTTAGTTCTCCAGGGCTTCACTATTCAAAGTATAGCCCAGAGGCCAGCCCTGAAAGCTTGTTAGGCAGGCAGAATCTCAGGTCCCTTCTAGACCTGCTGAATCAGAATTTGCCTTTTAAGAAGACCTCCAAGGGATTTGGGGACAGGTTAAAATTCGAGAAGCACTGCGCTAAGCCTTGGTTGGCTCATCTGTAAAACAGGTGGCTGTGAGGAGTGTAAGAGATAAATTTATATAAGGTGCTCAGCATCAGGAGAGTCTTGGTCAGCACTCAAGAAAAGGTTAATATGATCAACAGAGAAGAAACGAGTTGGGGGGCTGAGCTGGACGGGCCTGGGGATGTGAGAGCAGTGTCTGATGGCCCACAACAACTTGAAACACTGGGCAGCTCTGGAAATGAGCCACTAAATATAACCTTTGCTTGTTGAGGTCTGGCTTCAAAAGAGTGACTTGGCAGGAGACAGGACAGCATTTGTTCTGTGTGCTGTGTGACCGGCCAAGTCTGGCCCATGGCCCAGGGCTGGGAAGGAAGTCAGCCCCAGGTGCCCTGGCCAGCAGAGATCGGGGCTGGCATGTGCTGGTCTCTGCAAGGGCATTCCACAGTGACTCCAAACCCCACCTCACTGCTCCAACAGCCCGGGGCAACTCACCTAGGAGGAATTCCGGAGGTGCAAAGTGGAGGCATCGGATGCCAGTTATCAGCATCGGGGACTTGTTCATGGGCCGGATCAAGCCTCTCACGGCCATCTCATAGGCTTCCTGGGTCTGCAGGTCGAGGTTGGAGTACCTGGGGATGGGAAGGGGGCTAGAGTCAGGTGGCTGGTGGGGTGGGGAGCTGGGCTGACTGTTCAATCCTAGTCCTGCCCCACCCATGATGCCTTTCCTGAAGCTCTTCATTCACTTTCCATCTTCCCTGCCCCTCCAGCCACTTGTCCCCCCAATCCCTAAATGCAGGCTCTGCCCTCCTCTGCACACCCTGGCTTCAACAGTCACGCGTGCTGAATGCTCCCGCCCCGGCTCTGTGCCCCGATGATGCGTATCCCTGGCTTTCCTCTCCATTAGATCATATGCTCCCTAGAAGGCCAGCCAGGGTCTCCTGTTCCCCTCAGTCTCCCCAGGGGCTGGCCCAAGACCTGGCACACAGAAACACTTCTGCGTGCTGTGGAAGGAACGGGTAATTCATGTCTGGTTTTAGGCACTGAAAAGAGGATGTGTGGAACCTGCCCCAGAGCAGGTGAAGCCTGCAGGGAGCCCCGTGGGCACTCTTGCTCCTCCAGCACCTCCTCGAGGGCCCCTTGCAGGGAGGCGTGGGTTGGGCCCCACTTACATCACCAGGGCCTTCTGATGGGAACCTTGGATCAGGGCCAGGATTCGGTCCAGCTTCTCTCTGGTCACGTGGTCTGGAAAAGCCAGGGGATGGTCAGCTCACAGGTGCCCGCTGGATGAGTGACAACAAACTGGCAAACTGCCTTCCCCGAAACCAACGCCGTCCTTGGAAACTGGAGGGGGTCCCAGAGCATCCTCTGGTCCCAGGGTTCCCATTGAGGGGGCCGAGAGTCCTTCGAGAATCTTATGAAAGCCCGGCCCCTCTTCTCAGAAAGATACACAAGAACTCAACATCTTGAGGACATTTTCAAGAGGGTCACAGACTCCAGGTTAAGAACGCTTTCTTCTGGAAATGAGGCTCCAAGACGTAGTGTGACTTGCCCAATATTCTAAGCCAGGTCTCCTGAGCCCCAGTCTGGGGTTTTTCATGCCAGGGACCCTGAGAGGGAGGGTGCCATCTGTCCAAAGGCAGAAACAGGTGGCAAGAAGTGGAAATGGCTCTGCCTGCTGGTCCCACCAAGTGACTGTGGGCAGGCGCCAACTGCTGGCCCCAAAGGCCAGAGCTCTGGGAGCAGGTGTGGCGACTTGAGGCCTGCCAGCTCCAAGAGCCTCGGCCTCTCATCCCTTGGGTCTGGCTTCATTCATGCCGTTGTCTTTCCCGGAATGCAGCTGCCGCTCCCTACTCCCCCCTCATTTACGGCCCAGCTCAAATGCTGCCTCCTCCAGGAAGCCCCTCCTGGAGCGTGTCGCTTCTTCCTCCTGGCTCCTGCCACTCTGCACCTGGGTCTCTTTCCCAGCACTTAATTTTCTTTGGTTTTCACATTACTTTTAAAGTGTATAACTGATACATGAATCGTCTTTAAGAAATTTAGAGAAGCAGCAACAAACATCTCCCCACTTCCAAATTCTGGCTTCTTCCCTCCCAGAAATGTCAACTTGGTAGCTATCTTTAGACGTTTTTTGGATGTTGACACCATATACATGTACAAATATATAGTGTCGCTTTGCCACCTTTTTTTTTTTTTTTTTTTGGTGAGGAAGATCAGCCCTGAGCTAACATCTGCCAGTCCTCCTCTTTCTGCTGAGGAAGACTGGCTCTGTGCTAACATCTGTGCCGATCTTCCTCCACTTTATGTGGGACGCCACCACAGCATGGCCTGACAAGCGGTGCGTCGGTGCGCGCCCAGGATCTGAACCTGCGGCGCCAGCAGTGGAGCACATGCACTTAACCACTATGCCACAGGGCCAGCCCCTGCCACCTGTTTTTAGTCTTCTCCAGAAGATGTATAGATGTGTAGAGGTGTGTGTCCGCTCTCTCTGCTAGACTGTGAGTTCGTTGAGATTGGGGACCCCATCTGATTCACAATATGTACCCCCAGTGCTGGCACTTGGCTGGTGCTCCAAAAACATCTGTCAAATAAGCAAATGCAATAGATCCTATGGAAAATCTTAGAACACGGCAAGAGTGGGAAATGAAAAATGAGCCACCCACCCCTCCATCATCCAGCATCTCCCACTTCCTGGGCCCTGTGCTGTGTGTGACCATAGTCCCTGTTCTCATGGGTGACAGTCTGGTAGGGAAACAAATATTAAATAACCACTAATCATTAGTTGATTACTATTCTGAGAGTCCATCCAGTCCAAGTCTGGGGGCTAAAGAAGCTTCCTTGGGCAGGTGACATTGAAGCCAGGTGAGGAGGCAAGCACAGGGTGTTCTTGGAAGACAGAATAGCGTGTCCAAAGTCCCCCACGGCCAGCCCGAGCTTGGTGTGTCTGAGAGTAACGGAGACAGAGCCCACGTGGAAGCGAGGAATCAGGAAAAGCAGATGCGGAGGCAGCCACAGCTGCCCCTCCCACCGCCCTGGGCTCCCTGGGGCTCTCACCATACGTTGTCTTCTCCACCAGCCGCCCGTCCTCACAGAAGTCATCTGTGGCTTTGCCCAGGAGGCCGCGTACTGTGTAATCCTGCGGCGACAAGGTGGGCAAGGGAGGGTCAGCGTCTCGGCTCTAAGCCTCAGTGCTGAGGAGGGAGGTGTGGCTCGGCAGCTCCTGCCCCAGAGATGCTAGACCGGGGCCGGAGGTGAGGCCCTCAGGTCTTCCCTCGGGGAGCTCACGGGCTCGGCCCCTGCCCAGCTGCCCCACCGCCCCCTGGGGAAGGGCACCTTTCCCACAAAGGGCGCTGACAGCCACCCTGCGACCACCCCACACCTCCACGTCTCTCCACTCCAGCCAAACCTGACTTCTCATGCCAGGCCCCTCCTAGTATGCCCTGTCGGCTTCTCTCCATCCCTCTAAATACAATCTGTACAGCTAAATGATTCTGCCACAAGAGTAATGACAATGATGACAGAGATGATGACAACAGTGACATTTACTGGGCATTTACCATGTGCCAGTGACTATGCTAAGCACGTCACATGTAGTCACTAATTTAATCTTCAAAGTAACCCTATAGAAGAGGTACTATTATCATTCCCATTTTAGAGATGAGGAAACTGAGGCACACAGATGAAAGTAACCTACCCAAGGAGACATAACTAGCAGAGAGGTACACGCTGGGTTTTGAATCGAAGCCATTTGGCTCCAGAATTTGTGCTTTTAACCACTAAAAACAAAGGCTCTCTATCATGGCACCTCTGCAAACTCGTGGCGCCAGACTTCACGGCCCCAGCCTAGATGAAGGCTCCCTACATCTGGAAGGTGACATCTACTTCTCAGTCTTGGGGAAAGAACAGAGAGGTGTCATGATCAGGCTCTGGTGTTGGACAGATCCAGGTTCAAATCTCAGCTCTGCCCCTTAAAGGCTGTGTGACCCTGGGCAAGTGACATCCCCTCTCTGCGCCTCAGTTCTCTCACCTGTAAAATGGGCTAACAACAGATTCCACTTTACAGGGAAGTGGTGAGGCGTCCACGAGGGAGTCCACACCCAGTGCTCGGCACAGAGCAGTCAGCAAGCAGTAATGCCCACAGTCACTGCTGCATTATTACCTCTCCCCTCACACACAACCATAACAAAAGGCTTGCTGATGGCCTGGGTGTTCCCCATGGAATCCTCTCAGCTTCCAGATCCTGCCAGTGACCCCCAGAGAAAGGACCAAGGGGAAAGAAGACTGTCCCTAGCACCCGTCCGTACCTTGGTGAGGTGAGCGTTGTACATGTCGGTGAGGAGCCTGCGTCCACGTCCCACGCCGAGCACTGAAAGGCACCCAGCCTGATCTCACACCTGGCTCCCCGTTCCAGTTTTTCTGGGACCCTCAACCCCCATACCCACCATCAGAATACCCCCAACTCCAATGCTGCTGAAGCCAGCAAAGGGGAAGGAGAGCTTCCTCTACAGGGAGCAGGCAAGCTCCTCTGGGTATACAGGAAAATGCAGACGTCTGGGCCCCACCCATATGTACTGACTCTGAGTCATGGTTGGGAGGGGACCTAGGATCCTCAGCAAACTCCCCACAGGGTTCTGATACACTCAAAAGTAAGAGACCACTGGCCCAGTCACAGAGACCTACTCTCAAATCTGGGGTGGCTCTAAGCATGTCCTTTAACCTCCTTGGGTCTCAGGCTCCCCATCAGTAAAATGGGGACAAAAACACCACCTGATCCCTGTGGAGGTTATGACGACCGAGGCAATACACAGGAAGCGGTCAGCACAAAGCATGGGCCCAATAAACAGGGCATTGTGGCCACTCCCTGCCTTTCCCCCCTGCGTCTGTTTCTCCCTCTGGCTAAAGAAAAGAATGCCTCTCCATTCACTCCTGGATAAGGAGAACAGGAAGAAGGGGCATGAGATCACGTTTCCCTGCCTGTGCCCCAGGAAGCAAGACAAGGGGACTGGGACTTGTGCTCGGAGGATGTGGCCACCGCCTGACCCTGGGAACACACATGGCTCATGACTCAGGGTTTGGTGTGTCCAGCTCCAGCAACACCCAGACCCGGGCCAGTGGGGCCAGGGTCACGCGCTTGGCTACCCCACACAGGCTATGACAGTTTTCCCTCTCTGGACCAGGGGCATGCACTAACCACATGACCCAGGACGAGTGACCTAAGCTCCCGCAGCCTTACTTTCTTCATCCATAAAATCGTACAATATCTACCCAACAAGGCAGTTGTGGTGAATGCATGTCACATGCAGGAATCACTTGACAAAAACGGGCAACTGTGGTTACTATGCTGTGACATTCCCCCCTCCACCAGTCATCTTCTCAGCTGATTGGATTCAGAGCAGGCATCAGGGGAGGAGGGCAGTGTGGGAAATGGCTGTCAGGTTAGAAGTGGGCTGGGTGCCTAGTAGCTCCCCAGTCCTCCCCTAAGCCCATATCACTGCACCCCCAGACTCACGACATCACCTACCAAGCACCCCAGAAGCCTGGGCATCCAGCCGATGTCCTACGCCAACCTTCAGGCTGGTGAATGCTGGTCCACATACTGGAAAGAAACAAACAAGGCCCCTTTCCTCAACAAATTCAGCCCCCAGGATGGCTCTGGGCCACACGGTGACCTCATTCCTAGAATGTAGCTTCATGGAGCCCAAACCAGGATCAGGCTGGACTGTCAGGCTTCCCCACCACCAAATCTGGGGCCTAGAATCATTTCCTCAGTTCCCTGGATCCAGAGAAAGGGCAACCCCAGATGCCTGTGACTCTGCTATCACCACTTCCCCAGTGAGAGGCTTCGAGTGGGCTGGGCATGACACTGGGAATCAAGATTGTGGGGTTCTCCAACCAGCTCCTGCAGAAGGACAGTCCTGGGCACTATCCAAGTGGGAAAATGGAGGCTGTGAGCTCCTTACGGCAGGGCCTGGGTCTGTCTGTCACAGTTCTACCTCCGGAGCCCAGAACTCACCAAGTGCTCAGGAAATAACTATTGAAAGAATGAGTGAGTCATCAAAACATACACATTAAACATGTGTAGTTTTTAGTATATCAATTACACCGTAATAAAGCTAAAAAAAAAAAAAAGTGACGCATGAAGGAGCCGGAAGCTTTTACACTCCTGTAGATCAAGAGGAATCTAGGGGAAGGGCACAGGGTGGTTAAGAGCCTACTGAATCAAGGCTATGTTATTTAACGTCAACACTGACACTCAGTTGCCTCACTTGTGAAATGAGAATCAGATCTACCTCACAGGATTGTGGAGAAGATTCAATGAGATAGTATTTGGGAAAAGCTTAACACAGTATCTAATACAACGTAGATCACCAATACATCACACTGGTTATTGCTGTTATACTGCAGAGCCACTGAATATCACCGTCAAAGGAGTTTTAGAGGTCTCTGGCCAAGCCCCTCAGTCCTCCTATAGCCTCTCCCAAACATGCCTTAATCACATCTAGTGACAGGGGGCTCATTATCAGAACTAGTTCCACTGTCAGGCAGCTTTGTTGACTAAAAAGTCACTCTTTCCCAGGAACTCAAAACTCCCTCCTTAGCACTTCTACCTGAAGGTCTCAATTCCCACCTGGAGTCCCAGAATAGTAAAGGGGTCCACAGGTCAATCCTTCAAGCCTGTTTTTTTTTATGGCCCACGAGTTTAAATTGTTTTTACATTTTTCAATGGTTCAAAAAAAAACACGAAGATAATAATATTCTGTGATATATGAAAATTATACGAAATTCAAATCTCAGTGTCCCTAAATAAAGGCTTACTGGAACACACCCAGGTTCATTGCTTTACATGGTCTACAGCTGCTTTTGCACTACAATAGCAAAGGTGAGCCTGCAAAGCCTAAAATATTTACTTTCTGGCCCCTTCCAGGTAAATCTGCCAATCCCTGGTCACATACTTCATCCCCACTGTGGCCCTTCGATCGTGTGGGACAGAAGGAGTCTGAGCACTGATTGGGACACTGATTCTGGGCAGGGAAGTCCTGGGAAGTGACACCCAGGCCCCTACTTGAATGTGCCTTACCCAGCGGATGGTCGGTGAGGGTGGGCACACTGGTGGCTGTGAGGGTCAGCTCCTTCTCTTCGCTGCCTTCCATGGGGCCCAGAAGGAAGCGAACACGCTGTTCAGGGGCAGGAGGCTTCCCAGCATTGAGACCTGAGTACACATAGTAAAGGACATCTTGTCAATTCCGTCCAAGCACCTGGGTGAGGTGGGGCAGGGAAGTACGGAGACGTGGAAGGCAGATAAATCCCACGCTGTAGCAAACGGTATAGCACTAGTTAAGAATCAGACTCGGGTTCACATCCTGACTCCACTCCTTATTAACTACTTATGACAACGTACAATACTGAGTCTGCTGACCCATCTGACACAGGTGAACGTGAGGAGTAACGGAATACACAGAACACACGATTAGGAAAGGGCTCTGCCCAGGCGACTAGGTCGCATGAGTATTTTGCGGGAAGGATCAGAAACGGAGATGGCCTCCCGGGAGAACAGGCGCGGGATCGTGGGTCTGGTTCGAGACACTCACCCTTCAGAAGCTGCAACTCCACGGTGTCCCGCAGGTGCTTCCATTTTAGCCCCGGGGGCTTGTAGGCCGCGAAGAGCCCATGCAGCCGCGCTAGGCCTGCGGACCCCATGCCCGAAAGCCGCGGCCCGGGCTCGCGGAAAAGCTAAACCTGGACGGAAGTGCCGTATAGTCCCGCCCGCAAAAGTGGTCCCCACAACGGGCGCCGCCATGTTTTGCAGCCGGAAGAGGTTCGAGTCTTATTGTCCTCGGGGAAAACGTGCTGCGGAGAATGAAGTAGGGCCCGGCGCTGAACCCCTAAAGCTAGCGGGGTTTACTTGGAGACCCGTTTTGGGGGTCAGGTGAAAATAGGGAGAGTTTTATATCGGTGGAAGTAGGTGGTAGACAGGGCTCCTGGTTTCCTTCTCATACCTAGCGATAGGGCCCTTTCCAGTCCGTGCTACGATTTTTCCCCTTAAAAGACCTACTCCGCGCAGTAGGTAGCGAGTCCTTTTGACTTCTCCGGCGCTCCGTCGGCCTTGCCCCGCCCATCCTCCCACGGACGTCCGATGGTGCCTGCTGCCATGGCGACGCTGCTGCGCCGGGCTCTGCGCCCCCTCCGCCGGCTCCAGGGCTGGCCCGGGCCTGCTGCAGGCAAGTGGCCGAGGCGGGAAGGAGTCGTGGGGGCCCGATGCACCTTTGACCGCGGCCTTTTTCTTGTCCCGCAGGTGTGCCCCTCCGAGCCGCGAGCCATGGCGCCGGCCTGCTCTACCCCGAACACATCCCCACCTCCCCGCTGCAGAAGGCGCTGCTGGCCGCCGGCTCTGCCGGAATGGCGCTCTACAACCCGTATCGCCACGGTAAGGCCGCCGGCGCCCGGCGCTCCGTCGGGGCAGCGAGAGGTCGGGAGCGCCCTTGCGTTGGAAGCCTGGGCGGGTCCCGATCTCTTTCAAAGCGTCCGTTTCCTACGGGTAACTGCCGAATAGACTAGACCAGGGTACCCAAACCTGGCTGCGTCTCATAATCGCCCGCAGCGTTCATAAAAATGCAGATGCCTGAGTCCCACCCTAAACTCACTCAGTCCGAGTCTGCCGGGAGTGGAGAGGGGAAGGAGGAAGGGGCGTGGAGTCTGAGCTGCTGCCTTTTTAAACTACTTCCCGGGAGATTTTGCCATCCACACACATTGAGAACCTGTGGACTAAATAGATGATTTATGAGCACCCATCAAATTATAACATTCCCCAGAAATTAAGCTTTATGAACTTTATGAGGTCAGGGACCATGATTGCCCCGTTCTGCTGTATCGGCAGCATTGTCGATAGTGCATGGCACGCAATAAAGACCCAATAACTATTTGCTGAACATGTGAACAGAACATCCTAGGATCCTGCACTGCCCTTCTCATGCCTTCCAGAATCTTAAATTTGGAAAGTACTATTACTTTTACTAATAAAAAACGGTAATGCTAACTGCTCACTGAGCACTTATGCTGGTTTCTCCCTGCACCAAGTGTTTTATATGCATGAAGTTCTTGAGTTCTCACATTAACCCTATAAGAAAGGTGTTATCTGCACTTCACAAATTAGGACACTGAGGCTTGAACCTGTGAATCAGTTTGCACAAGGTTACCTAGTTAGTGACTGCACCGGGGCTCAAACCCAGCACTCTCATGCCAAAGGCTGTACCTGTCAATGGAGACATGATATTCTGTTGTGATAATTGGTGTGAAGGTGACTTATAAACTCTTTAGAGCACTGTGCTTATCAGAACCATCTCACCCCTTTAGATTAATAACATTGATAATAATACCTCCAGATATATTGAGCCCTTACTGTGTGCCAGGTGATTTGCTAAGTGATTAAAATGAATCCTCATAACCAAGAGGTAGGTAGATATTTTATCTTGTAGGAAACTAAAGCTCAGACTAGGTCAGGTGACTTACCTAAGATCATTTCCTCCATTTATCCCCATTTCTTTCCTTTCAGACATGGTCGCAGTTCTAGGGGAGACCACAGGATGCCATACCCTGAAGGTCCTCAGGGACCAGATGAGGAGGGATCCGGAGGGTTCCCAGATCCTGCAGTAGGTCTCAGCTCTGCCTGAGGGATTGGGGGCATTCTGTGGGGATCCTGATCTCTCTGGAGTCCATTGTGTTCCTCTAGGGAGCTCTTCTTGATACCCTTGCCATGGATGGCTGCACAGGCTGGGCACTGCCCAACTCCAGGGGTGCTAGTCACACAGACATTATGATGATCCCTGGGTAGTGCCATGTGGTGGCCTCGGCCCAGTTCCAGCCACAGGGCTCTGTGCCATCACTAACTTCCCATAACACATGCTAGCTGTACCCTGCACCCCTTCCTTCAGTACCCTTTGTGAATATCCTGATCACATGGGAGGCCTGCCTGCCTAGATTGTGCCCTTGCAGGCAGGAACCACATCCTTAGCTTATGGTAGTCTCCTCATCCCTTGCCAGTGGCCTGGCCAGTAGAAGGTGCTCCATTAGGACTTGTGGCCCCATTGCTGCTCTCTGCCCCTTCACCTCTCACATCTGCTCTAGCTGGACTTTTCACCTGCCTTTGCTGGTGCCCTCCCAGTACCTGAGTCCTGCCATCTGCCTTGCAGAGAGCGCCCCCGGATCTCGCTCTCCACCCTCGACCTGGGCAAGCTCCAGAGCCTACCTGAGGGCTCCCTCGGCCACGAGTATCTCCGTTTCCTGGATGTGAATGTGAGTTTCTAGCTTCTGTGCATTTGGCAGTCACCAGGAAGGGCAGAGGGTGGCACAGGAGTGACATCCCAAGGAAGGAGGAACCCTGAGCAGCCACCATGGGCAGCAGTGCTTTTCAATCTCTTGTGCCAAGGCTTTGTCATTTTCTCTGGGACAGGCAAATAGTCTGGGAACTTCACTCCAAGCGGTAATGCTGGCCAGCATTTATTAACCTCTTGCTGCATGCCAGATGCCAGGCTCATACTTGATCTCACTGAGTCCTCCCAACAACCCTGTCAAGTATGTTCTATTATTATCCCCTTTTAGTAGATGAGGATGCTGCGGCTCAGAGCAGTTAAGCAACTTGCTGACCTCACACAGCCAGTATTAATGGAGGCAGTATTCAAACCCAGGATGTGCTCTTTAACTGCTGCACTGTGACCCCTGTTCCTGGGACAGTGCTTTCCCTAGAGTATGACAAGTTGTGGCACCCTCCAGCCCCAGGCAGGGAGGACAAGGTCTGGTGGGGGGAGGGTCCCAACTACTGAGGAACTCATTCATTTGCTCAGAATCTGCCGTGTGCCATCCATTGTTCCAGGTGCTGGAATATAATGGTGAGCTAGACAGACAAGGTCCTGCCCTCCTGGAGCTAATATTCTAGTTGGGGAGGTAGACAATAAAGCAGTAAAAGGAAAACATTTTCATACAAAAATTCAAGCAAAATATTTATTGAGTACTTAGAACATACCAGACACTGTTGTCCGCCGTTGGGATACAGTGAATGAAACCAGCAAAGAGCCTGCACTAGAGGAGCTTCTGTTCTAGCAGGCGGTGCTGTGAGGACAGCAGTCAGCCTGATAGAGGCCTGGGCGGGGCACTTGTGATAGGGAGGCTGGAAGAGGAGGAGGAGCCAGCCCTGAGGAGAGTTGGGGAGGAGCATTCCGAGCAGAGGGGCTGGTGAGGGCAAGGCTCTGTGTGTTTAAGAAAAGGAAGACTGACCGATGTGGCCTTAGAGGAGTGAGTCAGGGGAGGCAGCCAGGAGGCTGGGAGGTCAGCCGGGCTGGGCCCTGCCAGTCATGGGAAGGAGTCTACATTTTGTAATAGCAGTGATAGGAAGCCATTGCGGGTTTCAAGAAGGGTAGTAATGTGTTCTGATTTATAAAAGGATACAGCTGGGCCACCTTCCCTGTCCCTACCCCACCCCCCAAGACTTACACGTCCCATCAAAGCACCTCTGTCATGTGGCTGTCCAGCCCAGCTGTGGGAGCCAGCCAGGCTGGAGGAGGTAAAAGAGTGAGCCAGGGTTGCTTTAGAGCTGGGTTTCTCAACCTTGGCACTGTTGACTTTTTGGGCCAGATAATTCTTTGTTGTGGAGGCTGTCCTGTGCATTGTAGGATGCTTAGCAGTCTCCTTGGCCTCTACCCACTAGATAGCAGTAACACCCCCCTAAATTGTGACAATCACAAATGTCTCCAGACGTTGTAAGTGTTCCCTGGTGGACAGTTGAGAGTTGCTGCTCTAGAAGGTTATTGTCCCTGAAAAAATAATCTGTTCCCCAGACTGTCCTGACACTTGCCCCTGCCCCATTTTATACCATCTTCCTCAGCTTTCACCAGGATGCAAGTTATTTCATCAGTGGGAAACCCACCAGGGTGACCCGCCCAAGTGCCACCCAGGGAGAGACAACCTTCTGAGGTTCTCCAGAGCCTTTCATCACGTTGCTGTGGAGATGGGACTGCCAGGGCTTCCCTGGGCACCTTGCCCAGTCACAGCCCTAGGAATTGTGACACTTCTAGAACATGGAAACCAGCAGCACACAGAATGTGAAGGAATACGCTTGTCCCAGCAGAGATTTAGGTCAAGGTTCAAAGTGAAGTCACCCTCCCTGAGGCTGACATTGGTAGGGAGTATGGTCATCCTTGTGACATCAAGATTAGGGCCATGGGCTCTGGAGTTAGAATCCTGCCTCTCTTCCCAGCTTTATAGCCCTGGGCAAATCATTTGACTCTCTGAGCCACAGATTACTTATCTGAGGTAAGGAAACCTAAAGTTTATCTTCCAGGGCACTTATATGACTTACTACTAATGGATATTAAGACTACTGGCTTTGGAGTCCAGCAGACTTGGTTTCAAGTCCTGACTCAGCCATTTGATTAGCTGTGTGACCTTGGGCAAGTTACTTTATCTCTGTGAGCCGTCATACCAGTATCTACACCCTAGATAGTCATGAGGGGGAAGTATGATAATACCTGTAAAGGATATCATACAGTGCTGGCACATGGTAGGTACTCAGTAGATGTAGCTGCTCTCACTGTGATCACCCTCAGCTTCACACAGCACGTAGAACTCTGCAGAAGAAATTAGGATCGGGGACCCAAGGAGGCCACAGACCATGGCGCTGAGCCAGCAGCCCCAAAGCAATGAAGACATCAAATCTCTCAGCCTCTGGACAGGCTGAGGCCAGGCTTTGGGAACAGGAAGACCAGGCCGTTCCCACTCAGGGTGCTCCTGAGGACTCAGAGAGGCAGTGGGTGGGTAAAAGGAGGATGGTTCACGTTTCTGCCTGGGATCAGAAAAGTGCCTGGGCCTGGCCTTTTACTCATGCATTCAAGACATCTTGATTCGTCCAGGCCCTGCGGATCCTGCAGTGAGCCAGACAGAGCCAGCCCTGTCCTCGTGCAGCTGACAGGCTGCTGCCACGCTGTTCATAGAAACAGAAGGCAAGCCACAGAGGTAATTTTAAATCTGCTGCTGGCCACTTTAATAAAAGCAAAAAGAAACAGGTGGAATTATTATTATTTTTGTGTGTGTGTGAGGAAGATCAGCCCTGTCCTAACATCTGCCAGTCCTCCTCTTTTTTTGCTGAGGAAGACTGGCCCTGGGCTAACATCCGTGCCCATCTTCCTCCATTTTATATGGGACACCGCCACAGCATGGCTTGTGAAGCAGTGCATCGGTGTGCGCCTGGGATCCAAACCGGCGAACCCCAGGCCGCCGCAGCAGAGCGCGCACACCCAACCACTTGCGCCACCAGGCCAGCCCCCAGGTGGAATTATTTTTAATGATATATTTTGTTTAACTCAATATATCTAATAAAATATTGTCATTTCAACATGTAATCAATATCTTAAAATTATTAAGGTCTCACGTTATTCTCTTCATACTAAGTCTTTGAAATCCAGTGTGTATTTTTCACGTGTACGGCACATCTCAACTGGAACTTGTCACATTTCGAGGCTCAATGGCCTCACGTGGTGTGGTTGCTGTACTGGACAGTGCTGGTCTAGGAGAGAACATTAACATTCACAGGCACTAAACATCACAATACAGTCATGTTGGGTGCCACAGAAAGGTACAGGATGCTACAAGAAACTGTAATGTGGGCCTGATAAGTCTGAAGGGCAGGGACAGCCTCCCTGAGAGGGAATGCTTAAGCTGAGCCAAAAAGGGTAAGAAGGAATTTTCAGGGTGAAGATAAGGGTGGTAGGAGAGAGCACCCTAGGCTGGGAGCAGCTCATGCAAAGGATCAGGGGCCTTGGGGGCTTTTTTTTTTTTTTTTCCATTTTATTTATTTATTTGGTGTGGAAGATTGGCCCTGGGCTAATATCTGTTGCCAGTCTTCCTCTTTTTGCTTGAGGAAGATTATTCCTGAGTTAACATCTGTGCCAGCCTTCCTCTATTTTGTATGTGGGATGCTGCCTCAACATGGCTTGATGAGCGGTGTCTAGGTCCACGCCCAGGGTCCGAACCCATGAACTCTGGGCCGCCCAAGTGGAGTGTGTGAACCTAACCACTATGCCACTGGGCTGGCCCCTCTTTTTATTTCTAATTGTGCTTAAAAAAGTAACAAAATTTACCATCTTAACCATTTCTAAATGTACAGTTCAGAAGTGTTAAGTATACTAACATTGTTATGAAACCAGTCTCCAGGGCTTTTTCGTCTTGTAAAACTGAAACTCTGTACCTGTTAAACAACCGCCACTTCCCCTCCCCTCAGAGGCTTCTTTGCCATAGATTCCAACAGGCTACATACATTATGTGTGAGTTGGGGTAGGCCAGGGGGGTGCCCCTCCCACCACAGTCCCTGCCCGAGGAGTCCTGTTGGCAGGTATGGACAGAAACAAAGTCCCCAGAGGTTTTTGGTGGGAGTGGTTGGCAGAGTCAAGGAGAGGCTGGCAAATTGGGCCCTGTGAACTGTTGGGAACGGGTCTAGGGGAGGCTCATGGTTGTCAGAGGGTCTCTCCAGATACCCGGGCACCCACCCGATTCGTGGATGATGAGGAGCTAGCGTACGTGATCCAGCGGTACCGGGAGGTGCATGACATGCTCCACACCCTGCTGGGGATGCCCACCAACATCCTGGGTGAGTGCCACCCTGCCAGCTGCCTTGAGAGTGGGGGATGGGTGGGGCGGGGCGCTCCAGTCAGCCTGTCCACCTGGGTCTGTCTTCAGGGCCAGGACAGGGCTCACCTGTCTCTGCCACCCTCCAATTAGCTGGCTCGGTGCCTCATTTTCTGCTTAACCCAAATATCTTGGTAGCATCTATGCCATGCATGCCCTCTCCTCCATCCCCACTGTGCCTCTGTGGCTCAGATGCTGATGTAGCAGCATCCAAGCATCGGGGCTCCCTGCTCTGAAACCCTCAGCAACTCTCTAAGGCCTGTAGGTACCAGCCTGGCATGGGTCCTCTGCATTCTGACCCAGGCTTCCTTTTCAGCCCTTATTTCCTTTTGTTCTTTCTTGGACCCTCTCCTCCACCTCAAGCCAGTTGCCCCAGGGCCCAGCATAGGCCTGGACTGGGCATAGCTGACCCCTGGTAGCGGTCAGAGGAGCAGACGCCTTGCTGCGCCCTGCCATGAGCACCACTGGCCTCTCCTCCTGGCCCCTGCTCACCTCCCACTCCCTCCCCACCCCGCCCCCCAGGAGAGATCGTGGTGAAGTGGTTTGAGGCTGTCCAAACCGGCCTGCCCATGTGCATCCTGGGTGCACTTTTTGGACCGATCCGACTCAGTGCCCAGTAAGTTCTCAAGTGGTGAGGGGTCGGGGGAGAACTGAGAGGGGCTAGGGCTCCAGGAAATGGGAAGAGCGGGCAGCCTTCCTGCGCAGCCCCCAGTGGTTCTTCAGGAAGCCAGAGTGGAAAGAGCGGGGCAGAGAGGTGAAACGGGCCTGGCGCAGGGTGTCCAGGGCCATGAAAGAAGCCTGGACGTTTCATGGGACCCTGGGGTTTCTTGGGCCAGGCCTCAGTGGCGGGTCAGAACGATGGAGTCGGGGCCGGCGAGGGGCAATGTAGTGTTAATGTCTTGAGTTAGGTAGCCCTCAGATTAAATCTGGGCTTTGGCATGTTTGAGATGTATCGCTTTGGGCACAGGATTTCACCTCACTGAGCTTCTGTTTCTCCATCTGAAAAGTGGAGATAATAACTACCTCCTCCTTAGGTCTGTGTGAGGATGAACTGAGAAAATGCAGAGCAGCTGCTGGGCATGTAACGTGCTTGGCCCTCGGACCTTACGTTGTCTTCTTTTCCTGTGCTGCCCCACAGGAGCCTGCGAGTGCTGGTCTCCGAGCTGATCCCGTGGGCAGTTCAGAATGGGCGCAGGGCCCCGTGTGTCCTCAACCTGTACTACGAGCGGCGCTGGGAGCAGCCCCTGAGGGCTCTACGGGAGGAGCTGGGCATCACGGACCCTCCATGCACGTCGAGGGCCTGGCCCAGGCCCTGAGCCGCTGAACCAGAGGGGCCTGGCCCGGCTTCCCTTGGGGGCAGAGGACTCCTTTACCACTACCTTTGTTTCTTTTCTTTGAACACTGACCCTTGGACATCATTTATCAGAATTTGTCATAACCACTGCTGAGTGGCTTTGAGGGCCGATGCAGGAGGGAGCAGGCTGTGCAGTTGGGTTCCCAGGCAAGCCAGGAGTTACCCAGAGAGAACCACATGTGAGCAGAAATCAGCTGTCTAGGCTCATATGGCACGTCTTGGGTCCACAACCCCTGTTCCAGACCCCTCCCTGCCAGCCAGGGTTTTCTGAGTGCCAAGCTGGGTATCCTCGCAGGAGTGAGGGCTACACCCAACTCCAGAGGGAAGCAGAGGGGGAGGCGAGTCCCCGGCGTCTGAATAAAATCTCCCATCAGGTCAAGCACCTGCTTCTCTCGTGACTGGTAGCCTCGGGCAGACGTTCCCTCCAGCCGGAGCTTCAGCTACTTGTCCTGTCTCTGGTCTGAAGTCAGCCGACTGGGATTCACATTCCTAACTCCTCCACCGTTTTCTAGCAGAAGGACTTAGGGCAAGTCACTTCCCCTCTCTGTGCCTGTTCATCATCAGTAACGGGAATGAAAGCAGCGCCTACCTCCTGGGGTTCTTGTGGGGCTTCCGTGAGGTGACGCTCAGAAGGGCTTCAGAGGAGGGACCCAAGGGGCAGGAGCTGTTTTATTCTGACTGTGTTTGCAGGTGGAGGAGGCTGCAGGTTCATTTTGGAGTGGCAACCTGGCATTTTCCTTGGGTCAGAGCTGAGTGGGGCCGGGCATGATGATGAGTGTTATTGGAGGAGTAGTTGGTCCCATGTTGGTATTTAGAACCAGAGACACTCCCAGGATGGCAGAGCCTTTAGAGTTTTGGGGGGGCCAGCTCCGCACTGTGTGGATGAGATAACTAAGGCCCAGAGATGGGCAAAGAATTGCCTGGAGTAGCTAGAATACAGGCCACGAGGCCTGGTTGGTTTTCCTATGCCTCAGCGTCCCTATCGATGATGAGGGCTCCAGTTTATTTACAGCTGTGCTGTGTGCCTAAGCGCTTGAGAGCATTCTCACACTGACACCTCCAACAACGCAAGGAGGGAGGTGGGACGACTGCTCGTATTTTCCTAATGAGGCAGTAGGAGCAGAGCTGGGGCTGGAACCAGGGGCTGTCCGAGGACCTGCCCAGCACTGCCACGCCAGTGCCTCAGCCTTCCTTGTTCCGCCATGTCTCAGTCCAGGGCTCCCAGTGGCAGAGGGAGGGTGTGGGAGGCTGGAGGCCTACCTCAGAACCATGGCCTTGCAAGAGGGAAGCCTCATGCTGAGCTCTTTGAATTTTTGCAGAAAGAAGGGGATTGCGGTGAGCTCCCCATGCCGCATCTATCTTCGCAGTATAGGGCACATAACCATACCTGCCAGCTGTTCCCATGGCTTCCCAGGGTCCCAGGCACCCCCACCGCCAGGTCAGTAAAAGTGAAAGGTGCCAAGGTGAAGGGGAGAGATCAGACTCTCCTGGCTTCTCTGCCCAGCTGGGGAGCTCACCTGCTCTGGCTCCTTGGTGCCTGGATGACCCTGGGCCTTTACAGCCCTCGAGAGATGGGCACTGGGCATCCAGATGAGCTGGGAATGGAATCTGGTCTCCAGACCATAGGGTGGCATTTTTGTCACCAGTTCACAATTGGAGAAAAATTAGACTGGTAATAGCTACCACTTACTGAGTTGTTACCATAGTCCATGAGGCCCTGCCAACTTCCACCTAGAAACTTCTATTCTTCATCCCAATATACTGTGTTGACCTTCTTCCTGTCTTTGGGAACAGCACTCTGTGCCCAGGTCATTACATGGTCAGCTCCTTGTCATTCACATCTGTGCTCAAATGTCACCTCAGAGAGGCCTTCCCTGACCACCCCATCTGAAGCAGTCCCCTCCCCTCACTTCATCACATCACTTTCCTTTCTTTAGAATGCTTACCACTGTCTGAAATTATCTCATTCATTTATTTACGGGTTCTGTGTCTGCTCCCGAAGGGCAGGGGCCTTGTTCTTTCCCTTCACTGCTGTGAACAGTGCTTGGCACACAGTAGGGGCTTGCTGCTTCATCGTGGAAGGAATGGATGCCAAGCCCCTTGCTGCGTATCCCCTGTGCAAGATCTTATTCGGTCCCCACAACAGCCTCACTCACTGGGTCTCAGGTTCAGAGAGTGTCCTAGAGTCACACAGCCGGGGGGTGGTGGAGCCTGTCCTGGGACGCACGGGTCTTGAGTCCTCTCCCAGGAGCCAAGGGAAAGCTCCCTTTGCCTCTATGTGATCGCAGCCATATGTAGCTAGCCCCAGAGCACTGTTTGGGAGCCCGGGCTCTAAAGGCAGACAGACCTGGCCCTGCCATCGACCAGCTCGGCACCCTTGCAATAGTCACATCACCCCTGTGAGCCTCTGTTTTCTCATCTGTAAAGCGGGGAATCTCACTGTCTCACAACAGGGTCACTGTGCATGTATAGGGCTTTAGCACATAAGAAGCACTTAGGAAATGGAAGTTGTCATTTGCCAGGAAGGCCCTTCGTGCCCTCTGAAGTCACCACGTACACAATCAAGCCAGAAGTATGTATTTTGCACACACCAGAGTGGGAGGACATACAGCTCAGAGGTCCTCATGCTAAATGCAACTGATATCCTTGGGGTAAGCACCTACTGTGTGGCAGGGGCAAAACACTTCAGTGTCCTGGGGAGGTTTAATTCCTTAAAGTGAGTCCAAATGTCAGCCTCTGATAAATCTGCCGGTTTCAGCGCAGATGCTGGTTCCCTGATGCAGGGCAGATGGGGTCATGTCCATGGAAAGGAGCCCACTGTGAGGTCAACCTAAGCTCAGCCTGTCCCACAAATGATGGCACCCAGCTCCTGCCCTTCTTAGGAACCCTCAGTGGCTCTTCACTATGCCAGGATAAACTCAGGCTGGCAAACAAATGCCTTTCCCATCACTGTCTCACCACACGGCCCCCTCTGCCATGTATTCTGATGCGCAAGCCCACCAGTTTTCAATCGTTTCACAGATGTCTTCTAAGCGTTTGCCGAATGCTGGGGGTTCTGCAGTGACTGAGACAGCTGTGTCGCCACCCTCTTAGAGTTGAGCAGTATGGCAGCTGAGGGCCTTCCGTGTGCCAGCCTGTGCTGAGCGCTTGACAGGCATCGTCTCATTGAATCCATACCCAGCCTAGGCAGCAGGAACCGTAATGACCGTATTCCCACTTGACAAACGAGGACACAGGCTCCATGGGGAGAGATTTACCCAATGCCTCACAGCTGGGGCTGGGAGTGCAACTCAGATGTGTCTGACTGAAAGCAAAGAAGACAAATCACAATAATGCGTGGTGGGTGTTGACAGAAGTATGGTGAGCACTTGGCGAGGGACAACCTATTCTAGTGACCTAATCTCCACACACCCTTTTTGTGTGTCCAACTAGACTGCAAGCAACTTGAAGGCAGACTGTCTTGTTCCCTCTGTGTCCCCTCAAATCTCCCCCTCAGGCCTGGCCCAGTGTCTGGGTGGTACTGCTTTGGCTTCACCGATGTGACCAGCCTGGGTGGAGAAGAGCCTGAGGGCTGGTCACCACCGCCCTCCTCCAAATTCTCACTTGCCCACTTTGCATATGACCTCAGCAGTCAATGTGGAAATAATCATATTTATATCCATGGATCCCAGTGTGGATAAGGTTAGAGCCTCCGATTCACTCTCCCTGTCATTCATTCATTTATTGAGCTTCTGCTATTTTCTAAGCCCTGTGGATACAATGAGAGACAATCTTCACATCCAGATTTTGTATGTGCTTTGTGGTCAATGAGACTGTAAACCACAATATTAAATATGTCAAGTGCTAATTCAAATGCTCCTCGTGACTCTCCACACCAACTCTGTGAGGTAAGCACTACTAGTATGTCCTCATTTTTAAATTTTATTTTTTTATTTTTTTTATTTTTCCCCCAAAGCCCCAGTAGATAGTTGTATGTCATAGCTGCACATCCTTCTAGTTGCTGTATGTGGGACGCGGCCTCAG